CTTAAATTTGAATACATATCAATCATTGACTCAAAACTATAATTTGCATACTTAATCGGCTTCACAAAGAAAGTATCAGTTGAAGGACTAACCTGAAAAGACTCAGCAATGAAAACGTCTCCATTGAAATAGGTATATCATGTTGTTCCTCCTCTATCATCTCCTTCTACATTTGTAGAAAAAACATCTATTCCACGTTCTCTTTCTTCATCTATAGAATTTTCCAATCTTGTGTTTTCAACTTCTTTTATGGACTTCTCTAATCTAGTACTTACTTCTTCTATAGATTTTTTCTACCATGTGCTTTATTCTTCTTTTTGTCTTTGTGTACTAATTATCCTTTCATACTTTTTAGTAGGAGTAGTAGCAATTGTTGCTCACTTTTTTCTTGGAGTCATTTTATATACGCTACGTGAAACAAAAATAAAATTATTAACTAAATCATAAAATGAAAAAGAAGAAGAAATGAAGTCATTAACACAACTTATAGAATAAAAAGCCAGAAAATGAGGAGAAGGAGATATGACAAGAAGTTATACAACAAGAAATATGGTGGAAATGTGATTATTAGTTATAAAAATAATCATGGATACACAATCTACATGTAAAAATAATAAAATCAAAATGTGATAATGCAAAAATAAATTCATTATCCTTAGATAATTTTGAAAGTTAGTTTCAAAACTACAAAAATAAATATGGTAAACAATTGCAGATGTAGCAGCTGTTGCATTTTTAAAATTATTTTATAGAAATTTCAGCAATTGTTGTAATTATTTGCAGTTGCTGAAACAAATGAAATAGTTGCTAAAAATGCTACAACAAAAACAGAAAGGCAAAAGCAACAATCTACATGTTGCCGAGACAAACACTCCTAGTTCTAAAAAGCATAATAATTTTTTGCGATAACCAACGATTGAAAACAGAGGTTCTACAGGGAATGGTAATGCAAGTAAGATGGTGGTCCAAGATAGTGAAAACTATGTGCAACATATAGGTGATTCAAGGACTTTATTTGATGCAACGCAAGTCTGTTATGGACAACAATGAAGGAGTTTATTTGTTGGACCAGCGTTGATGAACAAGGGCATGCTAGAACTCAAAAACCATCAGATTTACAATTTTTCTATCTGGTTGTTGCTACAAATTTTCGATCTGTTAAATAATCACTTTGTGATAAAAAAAAGTTACAAATTTTCAACTTGCTTGTTGTTAAAGAGTAGTTGTTTTGAAAAACTTTAGAACTCATATTCTGTGTATTCTTTGTTTTGTTGGTGTTCTTAGTGTATTGGTAAAAATATGAGACCAATGTTGTTTAACTAGTGATATAGTTTGTGTGGTATTCTTAATTTTGTTGGTATTATTGATAAAAACATTATTATTATGAAAAAAATATTTTATTGTTATGTTATTTTCAATAGATGGAGTATTTGTTGCAGTAGATGAGTTATCTATTGCTACATATGAATCATATGTTGGAAGAAATCAAATCAACAGTAAGACTCTTTTTATTTCTTCCAACAAATGTCTTATCTGTTGCAACATATGGTTCATCTATTGTAATATACAAATCATCTGTTGGAAGAAATCAAATCTGTAGACTATTGATTATTATATTATGTTGTATTTATTAAATTTGTTGCTATCTTTTTTTAATGATGCACAAATCAATTGTAATTTTTTTCTTATTTGTAGATAAAGTAAATTTCAAAAGAAAAGCAAGTGAATCAACCTCTGATAAATCAAGTAAAATAGCTAAACTACAACTATCATTAGAAGAACTTGTTGAATAAGTCATTTCACAAACAGACAATGTATTACATTCTGTAGATGTATAGAAAGAGAATGAAAATGTGAAAAGAAAAATCAATTAGAAGTACTAGAAAAACTGTAGAGGAGGAAGATGAAAATAAAGAAAAGGAAATAAATAATGAAGAAACTGAAAGTAGAATGACGGTGAAAAAAGAAAGTGAGAAAGGAGATGATATTAAAAGTGGGAAATATGCTGAAGAGGAAACTGAAAAAGATGATGAAGAGTTGATAATATTGAGGTATCGATAAGCGATTGTTAACGCAGATCAAAAGGCCGACATAATGTTGTCAAAACTTTTAGTATTGACAAGTTTCAGGTGAAGATGCCTATAGATAACCCTACAAATTTGACTGGTGATTTTGTTGTAAAATCAGTCATGGACATCAAATTTGATGATTTTAGAAAGACATTTAGGGATAAAAATTGGAGGATTTCTTTAAGTCTAGCTGTTTTGGACACTTTGTTGCCGGAGGATAACAATGTACACTTTCAAATGATCATGATGTATGATCTTCTCAAGCGCAGGATCAACTATAAGGGTGATGATGTTGATGCTTTGAAGGATGAGAACAAGAAGATGAATGAAATTTGGATAAACTATTGTGACATGTCGGTTTGTTTTGGCATGAAAGAATTTGCTATAGTGACTGGATTGAGATGTCATCCTCTTTCTAAAGTTACACCCTTTAAGAAGTCAAGATAAAACAAGACATCTAAATCAATATAGGCTGGAAAGAAAGACAAATTGCCAACCACCAAAACCCACAAAGGCAAAGAAAAATAAATAATGAGAATGAGTTGCTGACCATTGTTGGACCCAGTTACATCTAAATCAGTATAGGCTGGAAAGAAAGACAAATTGCCAACCACCAAAACCCACAAAGGCAAAGAAAAATAAATAATGAGAATGAGTTGCTGACCATTGTTGGACCCAGTTACATCTAAATCAGTATAGGCTGGAAAGAAAGACAAATTGCCAACCACCAAAACCCACAAAGGCAAAGAAAAATAAATAATGAGAATGAGTTGTTGACCATTGTTGGACCCAGTTATAAAGCCAAGGATTTGTTAACAGATCTCAAGAATAAAAGGTTTTGAAGAAGCACAAAAAGTGATTGTGCTTAGTTTGGTTTTTGCAAGCCATTTTATGGGCTAACGACATCAATAAAGTCATAGATCTTGAATTGTTTGTGCTTGTTCAGTATTTGAATGCATTCAACAATTACCCATAGGATTATGATAGTTATTTCTTGACTGTCAAATATTTGTTGACAAAGTTATCATCAAAGACGAAAAATTTATATAGTTTTTCTTGGGCCTTCATGATATACTTCACCTCTAATTTTAGTATTTTATTTATTTATGTTATTGAATAATTATTCTAAAAATTAGAATAAATTATTCAATAACAGGTGAAGTTTACTATGAAAGCCCAAGGAAAGCCATATGAATTATTCGTATTTGATGATAACTTTGTCAACAAATATTTGACAGTCAAGAAATAACCATCATAACCCCATGGGTAATTGTTGAATGCATTCAAATCCTGAACAAGCACAAACAATTCAAGATTTATAACTTTGTTGATGCATTTAGCCCATTAAATGACATGCACAAATCAAACTAAGCACAATCGCTTTTTGTGTTTCCTCAAAATCTTTTTGTTTTTGAAATCTGCTAACAAATAATTCGCTTTATAACTAGGTCCAACAATGGTCAGCAACTCACTCTCATTATTTATTTTTTCTTTGCCTTAGCTGATTTTGGTGGTTGTCTTGGTTGACAATTTGTCTTTCTTTTCAGTCTTGACTGATTTAGATGTCTTGTTTTTCTTAGCTTTTTTAAGGGTGTAACTTTGAAAAGAGGTTCAGAATGAGGATGACATCTCAGTCCAGTCATTATGACAAATTCTTTCATGCCAAAACAAATTGACATGCCACAATAGTTTATTCAAATCTCATCCATTTTTTGTTTTCATCCTTCAAAGCATCATCATCATCACCCTTATATTTGATCCTGCACTTGAGAAGATCATACACCATGGTCATTTTGAAAGCGTACATTGTTATCCTCCGGCATCAAAGTGTCCAAAACAATCGGACTTAAAGAAATCCTCCAATTTTTCATCCTTCAATGTCTTTCTAAAATTATCAAATTTGACGTTTATGACTAATTTTACAACAAAATCACCCATCAAATTTGTAGGATTATCTATACACATCTCTACCTGAAACTCGTTAATACTAAAAAAATTGACAATATCATGTCGGGTTTTTGATCTGCGTTCACGATTGCTCATGGATACCTCAACATCGTCATCAATATTGTCATCCTCTTTCCTCTTCATCATCCTTTTCAGTTTCCTCTTCAGTATCTTTTCCACTTTCAATATCATCTACTTCATCACTTTCTTCACCTTTCTCATCTTCTTTATCACTTTCCGTTTTTTCATCATCTTTATCATTTATTTTCTTTTCTTCATTTTTATTTTCATCTTCCTCCTCTATAGTTTTTCTAGAACTTCTGACTGATTTTTCTTCATTATCTCTTTCCACATTTTCTTTCTGTACATCTACAGAATGTAACATATCATCTATTTGTGAAAGGACTTGTTCAACAAGTTCTTCTAATAGTGTTTGTACTTAAACTGTTTTTAGTTGATTTACTAGAGGTTGATTCATTCATTTGATTTTCTTTAAGAAGTCATTTTATCTACAAATAAGAAGAAGAAAAATACAATTGATTTGTGCATCATTAAAAAAATATAGCAATAAATTTAATAAATATAATAGAATAATTAATAGTCTACTGATTTGATTTCTTCCATTAGATGACGTGTCTATTGCAATAAATGGTCCATCTGTTGCAATAGATGGGTTATTTGTTTCAACCGACAAGGCACATGTTGAAAGAAATAAAAAAGTCTTGCTACTGATTTGATTTCTTCCAACATATGACTCATTTGCAATAGATAACTCATCTATTACGACAAATAGGTCATCTATTGAAAATAACATAACAATAAAATAAATTTTTTCACAACACTAATGTTTTTACCAATATTGTCAACAACACCAACAAAATCTAATACTCACATATTCAAGTAATGAGTAGTTTCTGAAAATAAAAAGTCGATTTTTTTTCCCAGTTTTTGTTCTACTAAAATCAGAAAACTTACACCATTCTGACTTAACAGTAAAGAACCTCTGAAATCTGAATACAAATCAATCATTGACTTAAAACTGTAATTTGCATACCTAATCGGCTTCACAAAGAAAGTATCAATTGAAGAACTAACCGGAGAAGGCTCAGCAATAGAAAATGTCTCCTTCTCTGGAATATGTATATCATGTTATTCCTCCTCTATCATCTCCTTCTACATTTGTAGAAAAAGCATTTATTACACGTTCTCTTTCTTCATTTAAAGAAGTTTCCAATCTTGTGTTTTCAACTTCTTCTATGGACTTTTCTAATCTGGTACTTTCTTCTTCTTCTCTTTGTCTTTGTGTACTAATTTTCCTTCTATACTTTTTGGTAGTAGTAGTAGCAATTGTTCATTTTTGTCTTGGAGTCATTTTATCTACCCTACATGAAACAAAAATAAAATTATTAACTAAATCATAAAAAAAAAATTAAAAAAGAAAAGAGGTCATTAACACAATTTATAGAATAAAAGGCCAAAAAATGAGGAGAAGGGGATATGGTAAGAAGTTATACGACAAGAAATATAGTGGAGATATGATTACTTAGTTATAAAAATAATCATGGATACACAATCTACATGTAAAAACAATAAAATCAAAATGTGATGATGCAAAAATAAATTCATTATCCTTAGATAATTTTGAAAGTTAGTTTCAAAACTACAAAAAGAAATAGGGTAAACAATTGCAGATTTAACAACTGTTGCATTTTTAAAATTATTTTATAATAAGTGTTGTAATTATTATAGCAGTTGCAATAGTAATTTCAGCAATTATTGTAATTATTTCAGCCGTTGCTGAAACAAATGAAATAGTTGCTAAAAATGCTACAACAAAAACAGAAAGACAAAAGCAAGAATCTACATGTTGCCAAGACAAATGCTTCTAGTTCTAACAAGCATAAGAATTTTTTGCGGTAACCAACTGGTGGAAAGGGGATGGTAATGCAAGTGAGTAGGTGGTCCAAGATAGTGAAAACTATGTGCAACATATAGGCGATTCAAGGACTTTATTTGATGCAACGCAAGGCTATTATGGACAACAATTAAGGAGTTCATTTGCTGGACTAGTGTTGATGAACAAGGGCATGTTAGAGCTCTAAAACCATCAGATTTAGAAATTGTTGAAGCATTAGAGTAAGCTATTAATAAATCGCACATGTTATTGATGGGAAGATGTGAACTACAGGTCAAACGTTAGGAGTACAACTTAATAATGTTGAGATGGATCAAGGTTTTTTGTGGTGAGCAAGATACTACTGGCCAAGATACTTTGGCAATTGTAATGGCTATTGATCAACAAAATGAATATTCCTAAACAAGGATGTACAACCTGACCAAAAACTTAATGAGCAAAATGAGAAGGAAGTTGAACATGATATTTAACTCAGATCTATAAGCTTGGAAGTTGGAACAAACAAATTGTTCTATCCACAACTTCCTTCTCACTATATTATATGCTTACCATAACTCATACTCTCAAACTAACCAACAATGCATAAAATTCTGTTATAAAGTTCTTTTTAGGCTAATTACTATAGAACTTCCACAAGCCAAGTACATTGTCTAGTGTTTCCTATAAGGCCTAATATCCTCCAAACCTCGATGATGGCGAGAGAGACCATATGAGCATCAACAACAATGAGGGAGAAAGGTCTGCCCTGTTCTGTATGGTGAATGTGGCAGTAGGGGAAATATTTTACAGGGAAAATAAATTGGAGGGAGAGTAAAAATTTCAGGAAAGTTGAATTTTAATGGACTTTTACTAACTAGTATTACTTTGGACTGCCAGTAAAGGTAGGTCCTTTCTCAGCCAATATTTGAAGGCCAATAAAACTTGTGTTAAGTTAATATTGCAGCGACAAATACTCTATTTTCACTAAATAGCTCTATGCAATTGAAAAATTAATACCCAAATTCAGTATTTCTCATCAAACAATGCAACGTCACCTTCGATCACCATGCTATCTATGAAAGGCTGAGCTTATAAAATTAATGTTCAGACAACACACCATAGCAAATACAGATAAAATAAACTGATAAAACAAAGCATAATTTATACAATTGAACGCGTTGTGCGACTTGAACTAATATGTGAAATAATCATATACCTAAAGCACTAGCTAGTTCTCGTTTATAAGATAACAGGTTTAAACCACAATGTCGCACACAATCAACTATGAGAACAATCCTTAAGCAACTAAAAAAAATGGATGAAACCCTAACTTTGAGAAAAAAGAAAACAAAAATTACCTTTTGGAAATTAAAATTGGAGCTTGACGCTGAGATGATGGAGACGGCAACAATGGAGATGGAGTTGAAGCGGAAAGTGAAGGAGCTGAAGGAGTTGAAGCAGAGAGACGAAGAGACAGAGACGTTAGAGTTTTCTAAAGAGAGAGAGAGAAAGGGTAAAGTGAAATAATTGGGTTTGGGTTACTTGAGTGTTTTCTGAAAGTTTAACAGTTTTTTAAATTATATTTTACACTAGTAAATTTTTTCGCGTTTCGCGCGATGTGAATTGCATTTTATAAATTTGTTATTAATTGTAAAGTCAATTTACAATTATAGTTTTTTAAAAAAAAGGAAAACACTTTAAATGTTATAAACTATATTAAAAAATTGCTTCTATTTGATTTGATTTTCATTCAACAATTAAAATTATGTTCAATAAATTTTTAATATGTTAGCTTTCATATATAATGTGGCTTACAATAATATTCGAATTTGACTTAGTGGAATGAACAAAAAATTATAGGTACTTTAGATAAGCCGAAAAAATTACAAATTTATAAATGATAACAATTTCTCAAACTTTTGTCACTTGTTAATAAATCTTCTCAAATGGTAAATGATGTGTCAATCGAGTTCATTATCTTAGTATACTAAAAGTATATAAATAATAATATGGTTATATATGTTATATGAAGTAAAAATAAATATATTTAGACTTTTTGTTTGTTCTTCTTTTCTTCACCTTGTTCTGTTTTCACAGTTAACATATTAATTGTTAGTATAAGTTCTTATTAATGTCAACATAATATAAATTGCATACACATTCTTATTTTTAAAATTAAATGATATGTAAATAACTTTTTAAATAACTACGATAATTTAATGTGAGTTATGACTATTACTAATTAAGAGTGAAAATAATGAAGATGGAGAAGTGTGAATTATGAGAAATGTGACTTTTTTTTAAAAATAAAAT